TGTGGTGTAAAGAATAATGATAGTGTTCCCAGGGTGTTGAATATAAGTTACAAATTATTTGCTAGGAAACATGTCTCTGATATTAGTTTTTTTTCAATATTCCTATTATATATGAATCTGGTTTGGTTGGTGATGAACATATGCCTAATATGGAATCTTATTTTGGGCCGATGAAAAGTCACATTCTCAAAGCTCTTACCCACAAATACAAGGCTCTCCAAGAAATCATTAGCTTATTTTTATAAGAAAAATAGAAAGCAAGATGTCTCAACAGTTGTTGAGACCATCTTGTCTCATTTGACTTTGTGTGATTTTATAAGTGATTATAAAATTTGGTTCATGTTTGTTCAATCTAAGATTTTCCTGAAGTTTATTTAAAGAAAGATTTGATTGGCTAATGTTTATGGACAACTTGTTGGGTAAGATGTCTTCAACATATTATGTGACATCTTGACGCGCGTGATGAACATATTGGGTATTGATTCACTTTCAAATTTTATTCAATATTTATTTTGGTTTTAATTCTTCCAAAAGTCTAATGAAGTTGAGAAGTATTTTAATTCAAATCAGCTTAGAAAAGATTTGATTAAATCATATACTTATTCAGAGAAGAACTTAATTGAATATAGTTTAAACAAGAGATTTGGACTTGCATTTATTATTTGAATTTTCATTTATTACATGATTTGTATTTGCACCTAATAAGAAGACTTGTATTTGTACTTAATGAAAAGATTTGTATTTGTACTTAATGAGAATATCTGAAATCACCATTAAATATGGATTGTAGTGCATTTCTATTTTGAAAAGATATTATGTTTTAAATCCTTTATTTGAGAGATTGAAATTCCTATTTATGTCAAGTAAAGACAATATTGAAATTGTTTAATAAAAATTTAAAATTTGCTGGTCACAGAAAGTAAAACGTTAAGCATAATGTCTCAGAGATCCTCTATCAACATGCCATGGGTTGTTTTTTTGGAGTGAAAAATAAATTGAAGTATACCTCTTCCTTTCAAGATTTATTTCTTTTTTTGTTATATCAAAGATTTAGCGTATGTTTGGCGGGGTGTTGCATTTGACGCATATTTAGTTTTGGAGAAGCTACTATGTGTAGCTATTGCGTAAAATATCCTAAATTATAATCGAAATGCCACAACAGGTGTGCTTTTGTCATAAAAAATGTTGTACCAAACATATACTTAAGTGTGTTAGTTAACACATGTTTGAATTTGAAAATAACCTATTTCTAACAAGATTGCATTTGGGGTTCTTCTTTGTTCAAGATTTATATCAATCAATAATCTCAATTATCATAATGAAGATTTGATTGATGATGTGCATATTTTTGAGAAGGTTTAATCTCAAATAAATTCAACAAGAATGAAGTTGCTAATATGAAAAAAAATTCAAATTTGATCAATCAAGATTTGCAATTAACCATTATTGAATAATGATCCCTTGTACTTTTTAGATTCAATTCGAATTCATAAAAAATATAGTTGATTTTATTTCATTGGGTTAACGTCTTCTAGATGTAAGTAATTTTGCACCGAACTTAGTTACTGATTCCTGTGCTATTTACATTTTGCTTTTATTCGGTTTGCTATGTAATTATCTTGTCATACACATTGTGCCTGACATTATCACATATTAAACGTACAAGGAATTTAACCCAATGAAATAAATTATTTGCTACGTAACCATTGAGATGTCTCATATTAATTGTCATACACATTGTTTGCTATGTAACTATCCAAAAAACAGAATTTCACCCAAAATTAGGGGACATGTCTCATATTAAAATATTCACTCATACCATGGAAATAACTTGAAATAAGCCTTAAAACACTTCTCCCTTTTACAAGCCCTCGTGCTTGAGGGATTGTGTAACATTATATTTGTGAGAGTCCTAAGTAGGGGCAACGCCAGGGCACTACCTCTGCGTCAGAGGTCTCGTCTTTAGGGAATATGACTTGTACAATATTATTTTTCCACAATGTTCATATAGGAACAAGTTAGGCCACGACTTCCTGGAAAAAAAAAGTGATCAACTGTCTCCTCCAATCAAGGGGGAGCGGTTACCACTTTTTAAGTTTTTCTAAACCTAGGCTCAAACATCTTTATTAATATCCCTCTTCTAACGGGAAATAAGATCGAATCACAACTTAAACATATATAGCCTAACACACAGAGCCTCTAACTTCACGTGAGTTGGTCTTTGGTAGCACCGTAAACTAGGGGTGGAAAAACGGGTCGTGGCCCAACGACAGGTCCGTGCACCCGCCAAAAAATGGCGGGTTGGATTAAAATTTTGGGTCCGTCGCCCACCAAAGTCTGTCCTACTAAAGACCGCCACCCGCCAAAGCCCGCCTCACTAAAATCTGCCGCCCGCAAAAGTCCGTTGCACTTATTCGTTCAGCTTGTCCCATCTTAAATCCTCCATTTTTTAATTAATTCTAGTAATTTCAATTTTTGATAGTTTTATTTTATATATTTATTTGAGACTATATGCAATATTTTTTGAAGTAAAATTTGTTAAAAAGATGCTTTATAAAAATTGTTCTAAAAAAATAAGTGAAAGATCTAATTAAAATGTAAAAACAAGCCTATTAATTTATTAAAAAAATAAAAAATAAAAAAAGTAGGCTGATAAAGTCCGCCGCCCGCCAACCCGCCACTTTGGCTAGACGAGCTAAATTTTCATGTCCATTTTCACTTGGCAGGCTTGTCCGCCCGCCTTTTTTCGGCGACTTAAGGAGGGGTGGAGCCGGACGGACGACCCATTTTGTCACCCCTACCGTAAACCACCATACAAAACCTCTCACCACCACATGCAAACCCTTATTATAATAAACTTATTAAAGTCTCTGAGTATCCCCTACTTTTATAAAAATACCACACTAAAAATTTTATTCAAAAATTAATAATTTCCACGTATCAACAACTTTTATATATAAATATAAATAAATATTGATTCAAAAATTAACCAAGACCAAATATTAATTTAAATCAACAATACAAGCACATATCAATTGAATCATCTCACTCAACTCATAAAACTTTGTTAACCCCACCCACCGTACATAAAATTTTCGGTTAACGTTCTTAAATGTCAAAGCAACTTTAACCACTGATTTATAAATAACATGACATTTCTAATTATCATTTACATGATAATTGTAAATGACTAGAGATATTGTATAGAATATATAAGAAAAGAAACTAATAGTAAAACTTATTAATTGATTTAACTTTAACTATTTATAATTCTTGACCCTAAAAACTATTGATTTATAAATAACATTTTTAATTATCTCTTACAAGAAAAACATAAACAAAATAAGAAGATAATAGTAAATGATGAGAGATATTGTTGAGAATAGAGAAAAAATAATTGGATAATCGTAAAACTTATTAATTGACTTATAAATTATTAAAGATATAATTATCATAAATGACTATTAAATACAATTACTTCTTAACAGTTATATTGAAATCTATTTTTCATTATAACTAAACGCTATTTAAAAGTAATTAATATTGAGCATTTATTTTAATACAGTCAAAATAAGTTTATAATTTATAATTTAATTTTATGAATTCTTTGATGAAAGAAAAACTTATGAAGTTGATATAACTAATGAAAAATTATATAAGTTAATGGGAGAAAATCTTATGAATTGGGACAATAGGTTTATTGAAATGCTTCAAATCAACAGGGACAATAGGATTAGTAGTTGATAACTTAACTTGCTTCTGTCAAAAACCTGTTTTGTTCAAGGCTGCTAATACCCAATGAAGTTTTATTTTATTTTAATTCAAATAATTGACAATTGATGTATGGGTTGGATGGTAATTCTATGAAGCTAATTCTGGTGGTTTACTTTTTCAGGATGGTTAGCTGTTTTAAAGAAGATACATCCCATGTAGCTTAGCACAGTCTTAACATTTAAGCCAACTCAGTTAATAATAGATGGCAATTGTGAAGGAAAATATCAGATGTAGGAACAGATTCGAACTTAATACAACCACTTGCTAGACATGAATTTGACAGCACAAAACAAAGGGGATATCAACACCAGAAAACAAACGCAAAGAGACACTTAAATGATTTACATATGCTGTGTTAACTTGGTAATCATCCATAGCAAAAAGCAAAAGTATAAACAAACTAATACCAACTCATAGGACTATACTTCAAAGAAACAACTTCAAACATAATAATACATTTCATAGTAGCTGCTCATAATACATTTCATAGTAGCTCATGATAATGTCAACAAAAGAAAATAATAATAGTAATAATATATATATATATATATATATATATATATATATATATATATATATATATATATATATATATATATATATATATATATATATATATATATATATATAAGAATCTGTAAATTTATCACAAAATTGTTAAGAACAAGTTGATAATCTTGTCAATCTATTGTCATTATAATTAAGACACCTTTACAATTTGTCAAATAATTTCCTGCTAGCAGGGCAGTTGGCACAAGAAGAAACCTTGCATTATGTAACACAAATATGATCTCAGAAGGAGTGTGCATTTTGGTTTAATCATTCAAAGTTTTAAAATACTCTCATGTAGTTGGTTGTGGGGAGTCATTTCTAGGGGTATGGCACTGTCTCTACTAAATAGCTTAATGAAAATAGATCGAACAACTGTCTCTGCTAAATAGCTTAATGAAAATAGATCTAACATCTGGTATGCAAGCATAACAACTGTTTCTAACATGAAAAAACAGCATAACTAGCATCAAATACAGCTATAGAACAATCACATTTAAATCAGACCCCAGCATAAAAAGCACTATTATCATTGCCGTTTTCAGGATACAACACAGATAATCCCTCTCAAATATCTAAACCAAATTACACTGGATATCAGATTTAAAGTTATTTAAAAGTTTAAACCCAATCAATCAAAGCTAACATTTCCTGGAGAACACAAACCCTAAACTCAATCAATCATGCAGAATACCCAAAATGTCCTCATCCCTAAACAAATGGAACCTGCAAAATCAAAACAAAACAGAAAGACATTCTCATTTCAACACAATTCTTCACATAGAAAGGGGAAAAAATAACACTATTCCGATTACTTACTCTTTGTCATCAAGCTTAATTTGAGAGCCACCGTACTCCGGCAATAGAACGTGGTCACCTTCCTTGACAGACACCGGAATCAAATTTCCCGATCTGTCTCTCGATCCAGGTCCAACAGCCACAACCTTTCCCGAATTAAGCTGTTACGAAACCAGAAACAGTTTAACAACCGAATCAAAATCGATTAAGAGAGATATAAAAAATGAAGTGAGTTTAGAGTTTTAACCTGGGAGGTTTTCTCCGGAAGGAGAATTCCGGCGGAGGTTTTGGAAGGAGGGACGATTTTCTCGACGAGGATGCGGTTGAAGGTCGGAATCAAACGCTTTGCCATTGTGTTGGAGTTCGAAAATTAGGGTTTTACTGCAATGAAGCTTCTGAGAAAGAGTAGGGTTTTAACACTAGAAGAAGCAGTGGTTCTAGATCAGAAGGGAAGCTTCTAGGTTCTAGTTTGGCGAAACCATGCTAAGATGGGCTCTATTGTAAAGCCCATGGAATACTACAACATAGTTTTGGGCCTGGGCTTTCACTTTCTTCTCTGTTTGGTGTTATAACTATTCGTACCCTTTACTGTTTCTAATACACCATTCCCTCTCAAATTATGTTTTAAATATTTAATGGTGAGTATATATACTAATATACATACAAATTTAAAATATAAATATAAAGAATAAATTTTTTTTTCAATGTAAAAAATCAGGGCGGTCAATTATTGTTTTCTTTTAAAACAATGAATATTCCTTCTTCTTTTTTTGAAGAAATAATGAATATTCCTTCCTCTTTTTTTAGAGAGAAATAATGAATATTGCTTGTGTTGTCGTGAATAGTTTGTATGATATTTGATCCCGATAGGAGGAAGTATCATTTGATATTACTATCATTTTTATAAAGTACTTTAAAAAAAAAGGATTTTTTTAAAGTAGGGAAAAAAATCATGCACAAAGGGAATAGTTTATAAAGGGGCTTATTTTGGACTAATTCTAAAAGAACTTTGTAAGTTGCAAAATGAAATTTTGCTTCATCCCAATTTTTTTAATTGAATTTCTTAATACACCTTAGATTTTTCTACTATAATACATAAATTTTTACAAATATCTTTCACTCACATCTTCGGACGTATCTTTTGTTCACTCAACAAAAATCATTCTAAGAAGCACCTTATATATTGGGTAATTTTTATTCCAGAAATCCATCTCCATTACATTTTTAAAAAACTTTAATTATTTACCAGTTAAGTAGATGTTTCGGAGATGTATCTCTAGAATTATGAGCGATATTTTGAATTTTCTGTCACCTTTGCATGTCAGATATTTTCGGAGATGCATCTCCGAAAATATCTTATATAGAAACCAACTGCATGATCACTCAGCCATTGTTGACATACTTGATTTTCAACCAAACCCTTCACCCTAGAAACCCTTTATTCTCAACCAATTTTTCACTTCAAATATACATCTTTTTTGTTCAACATATCATAGGGAGCAAAAAAAGATAGAATTTCAGGAAAAGATTCTTCTTTTCCCCCTGCATTGCTCACATTAATCATCTATTTTTCTTTAAAAAAGTTATGTTGTGTTCGAAAATGTATCTCAAGAACATGTATGAAAACTTGTCCGGAGATGCATTTCTGAAAGTTGTCTGTGTTCATTTTTGAAGTCATTATGTAGCAGTAGTTGACCTTATATTTTGTTATTGTTTTAATTGTTTTCATTAGATATGGTGCACCTGATGTTTTTCCAAAATAAGTTGTTCCTCTGAATGTCCAAGGTGTGGTTATTTCTCCGAATTTCCAATGTGTTATTGTGAAGGAGGTAGATGTTGACAACGACTTTAAAAACAAGCAAGAGTTTGAATCTCGTGATCAAATGCTTCAATGAATTCATATGAAGGCCTCTAAAATTGGATTTGGTGTGTTTATCGAAAGGTCCGATAATGGTTCGGATTGAAGATGCAACTTTCTGACAATGACGTGCGAAAGAAGCGGAAAATATTGAACTTCTCTCCAGAATTTTAAAAGAGACGACATCGGTACAAAAAAAATGTCACTTTCTATTTAAGGTTAATGGTTAAATGTTTGCAACCGAAAATTGAAGATTCAATGTGATATGTGATTTGCATAACCATGATTTGTGATTAAAATTAGTCGGTCATCCTACTGTCTGTCAGCTCAAGCCAGAAGAGAAGGAATGTATTGCTGACATGACCTTGAATCTTGTTCAACCGAAAAAGATACTTGCAACATTGAAACGGAAACAACCCGACAATATATCAAATATCAAGCAAGTGTATAATATTTGGTACCTCACTAACAAGGTGCTTAAGGGATGGTAGAACTGAGATGCAACAACTCTTGAAATTGTTGGGTGATAACAGTTACGTGTTCAGGTACCGAACATGCGATGATGAAGTTACTGTTAGAGATATTTTTTGGACTCATCCTGATTCCATAAAGTTGTTTAACACATTTCCTACGGTGCTCATACTTGATTCAACCTATAAGACCAACAAGTATAGACTTCCATTGTTTGAGATGGTAAATAGGACAATTTTACTTGGGCATTAGAGGTATGTTGGTCATTGTTGAAAGTCTAAGGTGAGATGCCTAAAGCGATTGTTATCAACTGCGATACTGCATTGATGAATTTAGTTGTAAAGGTATTTCCTTCTTCTTATGCATTACTTTGTAGGTATCACATAATAAAGAATGTGAGAAGTCAAGTTTAACTCGCGGTAAGGACGAAACAAATAGAGTTCGTAGATGAAAAATTGATGAAAGCGGGTGTGGTTGTGGAAAGAATAATGGATGCATGTAATCATATAATAATATCTTCACCAAAAGAACTATATTTAAATTCTGTTATAAATTTAAGGAAAGTGTGTGAAAAGTATCCAGATTTTTTGAAATATGTTGAAAGCACAATTCTTGATCAGGTTAAGGAGAATATAGTTTATGTGTGGACTAATAACATTAGACACCTTAAAAATACAACAAATAACAGACTTGAGTCGGCCCATGCTACTTTGAAAAATTGGTTGGAAAATAGTAAGGGGAATTTGTGTAGAGACTGGGACTCAGTGAACCACATGATTCAAAACCAACATAATGAGATACAAACAACATTTGGTCGGAGCATCACAATTTTGGAACACATATTTAAAGACAACACTCTATATTCTCAGTTGGTTGGTAAAATTTATCAGGCGAATTTGAACTATATTTTTCACGAGGCTAAAAGGAATGATAATGTAGGCTCCGATAGCGCAAGGTGTGGATGCACAATTGTGAATACATATGGTCTCCCATGTGCTTGTGTTATTGCTAAAAAAATGAAACTTGGTGAACCAATAAGAATGAACGAGGTTTGCACTAATTGGAAGAGACTTAGGTTTGATGATGATGGATGCATGGATGACGGTAAATCGAATATTTCTATTTTGACCGAATGGGAAGTGATACAAGAGATATTTTTGAAGGTTGATGACAACATGGAACTTCACATCAAAGAAAAATTGAGGAAGATTGCATATCCGGAAACTACCATCTCAATCGGTAAAAAAAAAAGGTGCTCCGAAGAAAATGAAGCCTACACCAAATGACAACTCGATTACCCGGTATCCTTCATATTTTAAACAAGTTGACAAATTTTTTCCTGACTCACCAACTCCAAATCTAAAAAAAAATTGTTGTGAAAGGAGACTGCATTAGCAAACCACCTCCGACGCCACTTCCACCGGAGATTCCTTTCATTGATGAGATGCTCATTTTTATGCACAAATATATCGAGCGGATCATCAATATTGTGGGGGACGGTAATTATGGTTACTGAGCCGTTTCGGCTTTATTGGGTAAAGGAGAAGATAGTTATACACATGTCTAATATCAACTTATCCAAGAGTTAAAGATGCATAAAGAATCATACACGCGGTTGTACGGAAAGAAAGAAAATTTCGATGCAGTTTATGAGTCTCTTGTTCCTTACTTGAGCGGTTTGGCACCGGAGGAAAAATGGTTGCACTCCCCTAAAATAGATCACCTAATAGCATGTGTGTATGATAGAGTGTGTGTTGACCTGACATGCTACAGTTTTTTGGAAATCTTTTTCCTACTGCGCACCAAACCATCCAAAAATCTAAATGAACGAATCATGTGTATTGGGTGGATTTTAAAATCAAGTCATGTTGTTCAATTTTACTTGAATCCGGAATGCCATATACCACTTATATCACCGGAGTGGACAACTCATTCAACCAGAAAAGTCGAGACTTACCCGAATTATTTTATGAAAAGGATATAAGAATTCGAGAGATCGAACAACATTCAAAAATAATCAAGTGTGAATTACAAATTTTACATTGGATAAAAATATAAAGGTTGAATGAGAAATATGACATGTATAGTTATATATGATGATTTATATCTTAGGTTAAAATATGTTTTTCAAATTCACTTATTTAGTTATTCTTTGTCCAATGTGATAATCTAAATGTAATAATATAATAACAAACAAGAAGAGTTAAAGTTATTTATAAACTATGTATGAATTAAGATAATTAGTAGTCATGCTCAAAAAGCAATTGATTTTGATTTAACTATGATAACCTTTTTAATTATTTTTAATTCATCAAATAAAATTTTACTAACAAAAGATTTATAAAATTATAAATAATTTTAAGGTATTTACAACGATATTTTAATGTATGAAAATTAAAAGTTTTTTTATTCTTTCTTACAAATTTAAGAATGAGAGAAGGAAAACGAAAAAAAAAAAAATAGAGAAGACAATTTAACCTATTTTTAACATACATTAAAAAAAATACTTACAATAAATAGGGTAAAGAGACTTACAAAAATAAATAAATATGAGTATGGACTTGATAATTATTTATTAAAATAAATGGATATAAATTTTAGTATCTATCATCCCATATATATATATATATATATATATATATATATATATATATATATATATATATATATATATATATATATATATATATATATATATATATATATATATATATATATATATATATATATATATATATATATATATATATATATATATATATATATATATATATATTAGAAAATACATCAAATTTAAACGATTACATATTTAATATAAATATTTGTTTGTTTCATAATTTAAAAATAAATTTTATAATTTTTTTTTTAAATTTGAAAATGATATTATATTTTATAATTGATCCTTTTTTTTAATTTAGAAATACGAATAATGAGTATGAGTATTATTAGAAATATAGGTTATCACATATTAGTCATAGTGAGATATTAATATATATATATTTGTAACCTCATCATTAGAATGA